TGGGGAATTCTGGGAGTTGAAGTCCACCCATCTTAAAGTTGCCAAGGTTGAGAAACACTGCATATAGTCTTCCTCATCTTGATCTGATCTGCAGTGAGAATTCAACACAGAAAGACTCTGTCCCTCTGGCTTCTTTCATGCACCTCTGTTTAAAAGCCTCGGTGAGAAATCCGTTCAGGCCTAGAGAAAGGTCATTATTGACCTTCATCAATGACTGGAAACCCCTTATGAACTTTTTGTGTAAGAAAGAAAATGACTTTGTGACTTATGGGTTGAATGATTAGAAAGTATAGATTATAGAAAGAAGGGAATTATGACAAAGCCTTAGACAGAGAGGTTTGAGTAGAATTGTATGTATAACTGTCAAGAGGAAGATCAGAAGCCACTTCTTTATATATACAGTATATATTTTTTCATGTTTTATGTTTTTATGTTTTTTTATCTTCATTTTTTCCTTTCCTTCCCTATCTTCTTTTCTCTTTGTTTTCTCTTTACTTTTTCATATTTACTTTACTATATATATATAAAAAGTAAAAAAAGTATTTAAGAAAAAAAGTATTTCTTTTTCTGAATGCATTTCTTATCATCTATGTAAAATCGTTTAATAAAAACCATTAAAAAGAAATCAGTACAGGCTCTTGGGGGCTGGCAAGGATTCCCTGTTTTTTCAGACAGAGGCCTGTTCCACTTTGCCCGGAGACACCGGGAGCTGAATCGCAAATCTCAACACCCAAACATTTGATCTCCTGTTGAGCTACAAACTCTTTAGGAACCCAGGAATATACCAAGCTGGCTTATCGGGTTGGTTTATCTGGTCAGTGCTGCCTGCCCTGCAAAACAGCTGCAGAGTCCTTGGATTTTGGGAAGGCCCTGAAGACGTGGCTCTTCCCTCAAGCATTGGGCTAGTCAAGAGGCTAACAGTCTGGTTGGGGTGGCACCTGGTGGGAAGGGATGTCTGGTTTTTATTCTTCTTTTTACTGGCAGTTGTGAGCTGCCTAGGATCGCCATATGAGATAGCCAGCTGTACAGGTTCTTTAAGTAAATAAATACATCACAGAAAAGCCATTCTCTAAGCGTTCTCTCCAGCGATGATGAAGAACGACGTGAGAGGTCTTCTAAGACCAAGTTAGGCTGAAAGTCAACACAAGGCTGCTTGTAATGCCTCGGAGGATTAGCAGAAGATTGGCAAGGACTTGGAGCACAGTGTGGGTGTCCACACAGAATCTGATAGGCAATGGCAAGCCTGCATTATGGCGTGACTTGATGGCCACATCATGGTTGCTTTGGGTTTTGGGCTCAGAAACACTGTGTTTCGTAAAATCAATGATTCAGGGTTTAGCAGGCTGCACTAAGAAGGTGACGTGTAACCCTAAGCCAGGATTTTTTAAAAGACATCACACTAAGCCAAAGACAAACCAACTGCATTGTGGCTTAGTGTTCTAAGTGACTCTCCGCTTACTCTGAATTAAATTCCTGAAATGAAAGCAGTTTGGGGGAATGAGGAATATATTTGTTTTGCTTTTATAAGAAAAAAATGGTAAGTTCTCTTCCCATCTGGTACTGTAACATTCCTAGGCTTGGAATGATTTATTTCAATATATTGGCTTTTTTTGGCGTGGATGGGGCTTACCAGGTTTGTAAAAAAGCAATAAAGTAGATTTGCCCTGCTTGAAACCTCCCCAACTCTAAGCATGAATGTGGATGACGGCTATGAAAGTGGCCAGGGTTAGCAATTTTACGGCCTTCAAGTCCGGCAGACCCAACCACTTACTCCCCACAGATATGAGTGACTGCTGATGATCATCAACCTAGCTGAGTCTCTTTCCACAATGAATCAAAGTGTGTAGTTTTTAAAAAATAGGCTAGGAAAATGGGCTGTGGTTCCCCATAGATTGTCAACCAGAACAGGATAGGGAAGCTGAGGACCTCAGATGTTGACGAACCAGAGGTGTCCACAGGGGGTGGTCAAAAAGTCAAGATGGCAGCTGCAATGGTGTGATCCCACCCGTTTTTTATGTGCTAGACTAAATATCTATTGCCTCTGTTTACTTCCCAGGTGAGCTGGGGTTAAGAGAGGTGATCTGTCAATAACTGGTGAACCCAGATGATCTAACAACTGAAGAGCGACAGGAAAGGGAGGGGGCACCTCTTGGAAAGGACCCTCCCTTTGGCCCAGAACTTCTGGGTCTCACTGTTTGATTGCCCACTTCCAGTCTGCAGGAGGAACAGAAGACCGAGAAGCAGGAGGGCCTCACCTGGCATGCATTTCCCAGAGCTTGGTGCCCATCCGCTGGTCCCACACACAGACCAGCCCTTCCTCTCCTCCACTGACAACCTTCCAGTCATCCATCTGCACCACAGAAACACCCAGTTGGTGGCCGTAGAGCGAGGAGACAGGTTCACTTCTGCGGAGGTCATACACCATCACCCTATGAAGAAAAACGGGGAACTGTAAATATTTAAAGAAAACAGACTTAACCGTAAGAGCCTATCTGCATGAAAAGAGCACCGCTCGATCCACAGAGGAGTTATCCATCTGAATGACTCCTTTATTTCCCTTTTTATTATATTGTTATAAATCTTCATACACTGTACTGTTTCAATACAGCGATGTTTATATGATACGATTAGAGACTATTAACTTTCTATTGTTTAGATAGCTTAAAGTATTAAAAACAGAGAACGGAAAGAAAAAATCTGGTCAATATTAATTTCAATTTAGGATGTCAATATTACAAGCATAAAATTATTTGGCTTTTTCATCCAAAGTTAAATATAACAACCACTGCAACTCACATCAAAGTATTAGTTCTATCATAATGTTTCAATCTCAATATTAAAATCTCCACTGTACTGTTACTTACTCAATTACTCAATATTAAAATCTCCACTGTATTGTTACTTTATATTTGTATATTAGTAAAAAATTATCTTTATAGATGTGTTGATAAAAGGAAAAGATGAAGCAAATTTAACAAAAGAGAAAATGAATGAATGAATGAATGAATGAAGAGAGAGAGAGAGAGAGAGAGAGAGAGAGAAAGAA